TTACTCCTAATGGAGTATAGGCCGCCGACCAGCATTCTGCAACCCACTCTGTTGGTTATAGTATATCTGTAGTTTAATCCTATTAATTATTAGGATGTTTGTAGATTGTAGCGTACCTGGTGACAATACGCTGTAGAATATCGAGAGAAATTACTCGATTTAAGTTTTTTTTGATGAATGTCTCAAATTATGCCGTTCCTTAAGTCAATTCTTAAAATCTTTGAGCTCATGTGTAACTTCCACCTTCCCTTAAAAATATTCAACGCATCAAAAATTCTCACATAGAATCAACAAAGTTACTAGTTGAACGTTTGAAGGCAGGATTTAATGCCTTTGATAAATTAGTCAACGATCTAAAGAACATTGTCCGGCGTGGCTAAAAAGAGGAGGCAACGGTTCAATAAGAAGTTCTATAATCGAACACTTTGTGAACACAGGTCATTCAATCAAGACAGACTCTGCGTTCAAAGTCATCTACAAGGTAAGTAGAAGCCTTCGTAAGACAATTAGACTGCATCTTTTTTGCATTGCCGAGGCAATAGCCTTACATTTTAAAAAACCAGAATTATGTGTACAAAAGAGACTGGTACAACCTCTTCTTCTACCATGATCTTAATGTATTAAAAAAATTTTTTTTCTCTTTCTTCATACTCTTGTTCCCTTACAGCCACCTGCTTCACCTTCCATCTTCCCTTCAAATCTTCTATCCCCAACCGGTTTTTTTTATTTCCACGATCATTCCGACCACATTTCATCTATGTTTCAACATTTTATTAAAACTTTCCTTGTTTTAAAATCTTTTTTCTAATACCTTTGTTTATTTAACGTCAGTCACCATGTATAACAGAAGTTTTATTGTCAGTATTAACATTATCATCCTTTTAAAATAAGTGTACGTATTTGTGATTGTACAGCTTTGAAAATGAATTCGCCAAAAAGTGAACTCTTCGCTGAACTAATCTTTCTTTATTATTTAACGATCTAAGTCTCATATGTCCTTCATAGATTGATTTATTTTTTTCTTTCTGGTTAACATTTGCCTAGGACAGTGGTGGATGGAGAATGCTGATGGATAGTCTATACTCCTTCACGAAGAGTAACAGGCATAAATAAACTAAGTCAAGTTGTAGATTGATCAATAATGATGAAAATATAAATGGAATATTATATATATGAATAAAATACAGCTTCAATTGACTCATGATTTCAACCTGTGAAATTTCTAAAACTCTCCACAAAACCCATTCTGATAATAATCAACTGCTCACTAGTGACTGACTTCAGGAGAACCTCGTGGAGTTCTAGTAAGAAGCCGTCACCAGTGGAGTTCAACCAGGTCTGTTGTCAGATATCAGCTCACTGAAGACAGTGGTGTTCGGTGGCGCAACTTCGTGGATTGGTTGACGTTAGACATTGACACCGTTGGATGCCGGCTCAGTGGTCTATTGGTTAAGTGCTCGCGCGCGAAAAAAGCAGATCCTGGGTTCGAGCCCCGCGTGGTGCACTGCTGAGGAGTCCCATACTAGGACGAAACGGCCGTCCAGTGCTTCCAGGTTTTCCATGGTGGTCTGGCTTCAACTGACTCATGATTTCAACCTGTGAAATTTCTAAAACTCTCCACAAAACCCATTCTGATAATGCAAAATAGTTTTACTTCTTTGTATAAATCAATAAACAAGATCTTTTTTGTTTCTATGACGGTTTTTGTAATTTTTTTTTTGATTGAAATATTACAAAAAAAAGATTTTTTTTTGTGTGTGTGGATTTTGTTTTATATTTTTAATGAAGTTTTAAAACTTATAAAATTACTGATTAGTAGAGTTGGCAACTGATGAATAATGAGAAGATGAGATAAACATTAGGAATAATAAAATGTATTTGAATTTAATACAAAAATATTAGTGATCATGTAATAAGAAGACAAAGATGATCAGAACTATGTGATGATATGTTAGCGCAATACATTTCGAACAATCTAATCACACATAATGCACTTGTTCATGTTAGGATAGTCGGAAAAATATACCAATAATTATCGAGTTAAGTTTATGGTGGCCTTAGACCTTTAAATGTACATTTCCCATTTGTCGATGTTTGTTTCACTTGTTAAATATTGTGTAAATGTTGTTTCCTATTTTATGGTACGATGTGGTTTGTTTGTTTGGTATATAAATAGAGTATGTCTGAAATACAATGATTCATAACTCAGAGGCTGTGACTTGTGTTCTGGACTCAACTGGCTGGGCTAGAAAGGAAAACGGGACCAATCGGGACTCTAGGTCGTCCGTACGTGTTTACGTATCATTGGATCGATCGATATAAACGCTGCTTATCAAAACCTGCAGTCCACACGTTACAACAGTTAAGAACTTTTATATATAAAAAAATAAAAGATCAACTAGACTGGAAATGGGGTAAGAGGAGACAAGGATGTGAACACAATTTGAAACCTAATCACTCTGGATAATAAGCCAATATTACCAGGTTAGGTTTAAGATGAGAACAGACTGTTTTTGAATACATAAAGGGGGTTTAAATTTTCGTATGGCTAAGGCTTCAATAAACCTTAGTATACGCCTTTTCATCACACTTTTGTACAACACCACAAAAGCCTAGTTATGATCAATCTTATGGCCTGTTTCGATTGTATGTTTAGCAATAGAGCATGATGGATGTTTATCCTCTACACTGATTGGGTCACTTGATTCTATTTGTTTCTGCAACCATCAGATTGTTCGAAATGTATTGCGCTAATATGATCATCATCATCACATAGTTCTGATCATCTTCGTCTTCTTATTACATGATCGAAATTTATCAAAGGGACTAATATTAGTGATAATATCATATTTGGTAAATTAAATATGATGTACTAGCCATTTGAACTATTTCATAGAGAGAAAGAGGGAGAGGGAGGGAAAGAGAGAGAGAGAGTGAGAGGGAAAGAAAGGTATCAAGTATGCAATATACATGTAAATGTATTCATAACCATTAATTCGATAGTTCACTTCATTTGTTCTCTTATATACCTGGTTATTGATAGGTCAGATTTAATATTAAATTAATAGATTATCAATTATTGCTAATCATTAATTTAAGATTAAAATAAAATTGAATTTAATAATATCGATAAAATATGGAACTCAAAACAACTGTCTGTCAATCAATGTCAAAGTTAGAATCTTCAAAACGAATGTCAAGACAGTTCTACTGTACAGAGCTGAAACTTAGAGAACTACAACAACCATCATCAAGAAGGTACAAGTATTTATAAGCAGTTGTCTACTCAAAATACTCAACATCCATTGACCGGATAACATCAGTAACAGCCTTCTGTGTGAGAGAACAAACCAGCTTCCAGATGAAGAGGAAATTAGGAAAAGACGATGGAAATGGATAGAATATACATTACGCAAATCATCAAACTGCATCACGAGACAAGCCCTAACTTGCAATCCTGAAGTGAAGCTGTTAAGAGGAAGGCCAAAGAACACATAACGTCGGTAAATAGAGTCACATATGAAAAGAATGAATAACAACTGGAAGGAGCTGGAAAGGATTGCCCAGAACAGGATTGGATGGAGAATGCTGGTAAGCGGTCTATGCTCCTTCACTTGGAGTAACAGGCGTAAGTAAGTATGTAAGTAAGTAAGCAAGTTGGCAAGTAAGTACATTTTATGATATATTATTGGATAGAAACTTACAAATGATTCTGTATGTATTCAAATATTAGTCTTTTAATATGATGGGGATCTTTAAACGAGGACAGTTTTCCCTTCCAAAAAAACGTTTCCCCCTATAAATAGGTATTCATTAAGATGTAGTTCAATAATTAAACAGTAGTGATGTACAGAAGTAAATAGTAAAAAACGTTTGTTTATATATTTTCTTTATTTTAATCATGTACAATAATCTAATGAACAAAAATGACACTTTAATATATTCGATCCATGATTAATTCTACAATGTACTTTATTTCAACAGTTGACATCATGAGCCAGTTGAAGCTAGGCAACCATGGAAAACCTGGAAGCACTGGACGGCCGTTTCATCCTATTGTAAGACTCCTCAGCAGTACATTATTATTGAATTAAACGGCTAAATGTTACTGTTTATATAACTAACTTTAGTATCTGATGTACATCTTTCTTAAATATTTAAAGATATAACTAGTTTTATGAATTACAAATTAGAGATTTATGGAGATAGTAGTAGACAATGAACAATGGTATAGTTTCGTGAATGAGTTAAATTTGAATATATATTAACACTATTGGATTTTGGCTTAATAATGTGGTGGTCGTGATTCAATATAATCTTTAAACTTCGTATACAGTTCGTCTTGATAACCGTCACTAGATAACGCCTCAACGGTACATTAATCAGAAGGCCAATACAAAGTGTTGATTACGTTTATTATGGGACCACATACACAGATATCCAGAATTACAGGTGCGTTGAACAAGCACAGAAGAGTTGTGCCGAAAGGCAAGCAGGCAAGCGAGCGAGCGAGTGAGTGAGTCAGCGAATATGAGTACGAATAATCGAGTACAATTAAGCGAGAGAGATCAATGAACATGAATATCATGGACATATATATATATATACATAGTGAAATGAATGAATCACCGAATCAATTAAGCGGTTAGTAGTAAGCCTAACAGCGTGAATACATGCGTAGGCAGGCAGTAAGCAATGCTCAAGCATACCTGTTCATACATTCGCAACAAGAATCAAGATACAATGATATAGGTAAGTTGTTGTTGTTGTACAGATGACTCAGTTCGTTAATAAGTTACCAAAACGACTTAACCGAGTTTAATGTGAACTGACTCAATTACGCATGAGTTGCTATAATAGTCTACAGGTTAAATGTTCACAAAGTTTGAATCCCGTTACATTTTTCATTGATTTTTCTCAATCAATTGAATGGACTAATACACAAATTGAAAGTTACAAATGAAAAACTTTAAATTAAACATAAATCATATAAAACTTACTTTATTTATTGTGTTAGTCTCATTTATTTTAATCCACAATAGTACAATAATTACATAGTTACTAATGTTTCTATGATTTTCTGTTACTATGTCTCCCTCCCTCTCTCTCTCTTTTTTTTTTGTCGTTCCTCAATTTGTCATTGAATTCAAAAGAAGAACATGAACAAGAAGAAGAAGAAGAAGAAGAAGAAGAAGAAGAATGTTTCCATTAGTACATTTTACAAATTGAAAGTTTTCCTGTATTTATGACTAGTATTTGTTTCTTTGAAGAATATCAGTCATTTCTATGATTATAATCATTACTATTCTTATTCTTCTTATTATCCTGTTATAATGAATTAACTATGTGTACTATCAGGGATAGATTTTTATCCAATCAAAATTAAAATAAATGGGAAATGTAATAAAATGAAGTAAAATAACCAATCAAATTGTCTTCTTAAAACTTTGTTTCTTAAGTATTAACAACAATAATAATAATAATAATAATAATAATAAATTATTATTATTATTTTGATTGAGATCATGAATCAATGAATGTTAGACCAGTATTGAAAACCTGAAAGTATTGGATGATCATTTCGTTTCAGTACAGAACTCTTCAATAAATGGATGCCAGCTCAGTTCTTTAAAGATTAAGTGTTCACGTTCAAGACTGATGGTCTTGAGTTCGAGTCCCGCTTGCACGATTATGAATGTACACTGTTGAGGAGTCTCATACTATGATGGGATGGCTATCCAATACCTACAGGTTTTCAGTGGTGGTTTCACACTTATCGATTCATGATCTCTACCAAAAAAATTAACAATCTCTATAATCCTACAATAATAATTTATTACTTAAATAACAATGATTTATGTTGCTAGATATTCTATTACTGACTAGCGTTATGTACCATTTATGTCAAAATAAGTAGCACACTCCACAGTATTAGTGTAGAGGCTAACTATCTAACTCACTAACCCGCTAAACAAACGCTAATGAGAGGAAATTTGTTCAATATTTCATCTTAGTGATATCTATCAAAACGTAAATGACTAAACAAATTTGTCTTGAATGACAATAGATGAATGAAATATCAACTGACAACTTGTTGTTACATTTGATTATCCTCTTGAAAAGTTATTCTATAGATGAATGGAAATGAAACGAAGGTCTATTCATCGTCTTTCCAGTAAGTTACGTTTTATAGAGATAAATGTTTGTGTTCACTAGTGACTAACTTCAAGATGGATTCTGTGGAGTTCTAGTGAGTAGCCGTGATCAATGAGGTTTCAATATATGTCAGGTGAAAACAGGTATTTATATCATATCGTTGCTCACTGGTCTAGAGGTTAAGCATTAGAGCGCCAGATCAATGGTAATAGGATTGAGTCCAATGTACGAGATTATGGATGTACACTGCTAACGAGTCCTATACTAGGACAGGATGATCGTCCAATGCTTCCAGGTTTTCAATAGTGATCTCGCTTAGATTGACTCCTGAGTTCAACTATTAAAAATAAATTTTTGTAACAAATACAGCGTAAAAGCGAAAATTGAAAAAATCTTTTTTCAAAAAATCTATAAGAATTTTATAATTGGGTTATCATACACATAATGTAAAGACAGTTCTACTGTATGGGGCGGAAACTTGGTGAACTACCACAACCGTCATTAAGAAGATATGAGTATTTACTAACAGCTGTATATGCAAGATAACTCAGATGCGTTGGTCAGACACTATCAGCTACAACCTATTATAGGAGAGAACAAACCAGATTCCAGTAGAGGAAGAAATCAGGATGAAGCGTCGTAAATTATCAAACTGCATCACGATGCAAGGTCTCACTTGGCATTTTGAAGGCCATAGGAGAAGAGGTAGACCAAAGAACACATTCCGCTAAGAAATGAAAACAGATATGAAAAGAATGAACAACAATTGGTGCTAGAACTAGAAAGGAAGGCCGAGGACAGAATGAGTTATAGAATGCTGGTCGTCGGCCTATGCTCCATTGTAAGCAACAGGCGTAAGTAAGCTATATTACACATAACGATGTAAACCAACTATTTTGTTGTTGTTGGGAGAGTTCTAACAAACATTTTTTGTAATAAATATAAGAAGTGAGTAGTAATAAAAGAAATCAATAACCGTTCTAATTACACTATTAAAATATTGACTAGTCATAATGGTATTGATTATTGTACATTTTAGTAGATAAATGACGGGAAAGAAGGAAACAATGGAAGAAGAGTTTAAAAAATATATACTTCAAAGATCAATAATATAAACGTCAAGTACTCAAGTTAACTATGGAATAAATGGTATAATTATAATTATTATTGATTTATATAAATAATTATTATGTCATATTATGTCTGATTGACATTAAACCATTCAGATTATTACCTACTTACGCTTATTACCCCTCGTGGAGGAGCATAGGCCAACCACCATAACTCTCCATTCAACCTTGTCTTAGGCGGTCTTTTCTAGCTCTTTTCAGTTGCTCTTCATTCTTTTCATATCTGCTTCTATTTTCCTACATAATGTGTTCATTGACCTTCCACTTTTCCGCTTCCCCTCAGGATTACAAGTTAGGGATTACCTCGTGATGCACTTTGGTGATTTCCTCAATGTGTGTCCTATCCATTTCCATCGTCTTTTCCTAATTTCCTCTTCAGCTGGAAGCTGGTTTGTTCTCTCCTACAAAAGGCTGTTGCTGATGGTATCCAGTCAATGGACATTGAATATTTTGAGTAGACAACTGCTTATAAATACTTGTACCTTCTTGATGATGGTTGTTGTAGTTCTCTAAGTTTCAGCTCCGTACAATACAACTACCTTGAAGTTCATATTGAAGATTGTAACTTTAATATTGGTTGACAGTTGTTTTGAGTTCCATATGTTCTTTACTTGTAGGAAAGCAGCCCTTGCTTTACCAATCCTCGCTTTTACGTCTGCATCTGATCCTCTTTGCTCATAGACGATGTTTCCAAGATGCATGAAGGATTCCACATCTTACAGAGTTTCCCCATCATGTGTGATTGAGTTGGTTGGTGTTCTTCATGTGGTGCTTGAGGATCTTGGTTTTCCGCTTGTGTATAGTGAGGCCTACGGTATTTATTAAATGAGGATTTATTATAACTTTACAGTTCAACAGGTTTCATATTTTATTTTATCTAAGGCTCTTTATATATCAAAATAATAAATGAATAAGGTTATTTATACTGAAAGATTACTGTTTAGTACTCAATGTTATGTCTACCTAATCCATAAATCATCCCACTTTAGAATAAGGCCTATATGATGTTAAATAAACTATAATGACATTAATAAATGAACAAGGATGACATTGATTGATATACCGATAATCAATGTAAATACTTTTATTCTTCAAACGATCATCATTACTCAAATAGCTCAGTAGTACTTACTGATTGTGATATTGAAAGATATCTGTTATAGTTTCCCAGGAGTTCAAAGTTTAGATACACATAACTGACAGATATCAACAAAAACTAAATCTACCTCAGTAAATGTTCCTTAACAAATGCCTACTTACTTACTTCCTTACGCCTGTTATTCCAATAAAGCATAGGCCGCCGAACAGCATTCGACAACTCACTGTGTCCTGGGCCTTCCTTTCTAGTTCTAACCAATTATTGTTCATTCTTATGTCTGTCTCCATTTCTCAGTATAATATGTTCTTAGATCATTTTCTTCTCTTTTGACCTTGAGGATTCCAAGTAAGTGCTTGCCTTGTGACACAATTGGGTGCTTTCGTCAATGTATGTATCCTATCCCACAACGAACGCCTACATGAACCTCATATATTTTGAAAGAGAATTACTATTTCCAATAAGTATCCCGTTAGTAATGTGAATTCTGCCAATAAGTCATACACATCTACTTAATTTTAATGGTTAAGATCATGAGTCAGTTGAAACTAGACCACTATGGAAAACCTGAAAGCACTAAACTCATGATCTTAACCATTGAAATTACTACAATCTCCACGAGAAAACCCATCTGATATTAATTGATATATATGCTCACTAGTGACTGGCTTCACGAGGTATATCCTGGAGTTCTAGTGAGAAGTAGTGATCAGTGGAGTTCAACCGGGTCAGTTGTTAGATAGTAACTCCCTTGTGACAATGGTGAATGTGTCACTCAATTTCGTGGATTAATTGAAGTTAGACATTAACACTGCTGGATGCCGGCTCAGTGGTCTAGTGGTTAACTGCTCGCGCGCGAAAAAATTAGATCCAGGGTTCGAATCCCACAGGGGTCGAGGTCGTTGATGCTCACTGTTAAGGAGTCCCTAAATAGGACGAAACGACCGTCCAGTGCTTCCACGTTTCCTATGGTGGTCTAGCTTCAACTGACTCATGATCTTAACCATTGAAATTTCTTCAATCTCTACAAGAAAACCCATCTGATACATCTAGTTAAGTCAAAATGATCTAAGTTGAAATACAGAATGTTTCTATTATAAACACTCTATGAATTGAATGTTTAACATTATTTCTCAGTTGAATGCACATTCTCATTAACTTTTCTAATGTCTATTTGATAACTAGTTTAATTGTTTAGTAAGCAAAATGAATGGTGTTAAAGTCAACTTCTTTTTTAATTTATAACTGAGCATTCTCAATTTGAACTTTAGTAAAAGTTTCACTGATTAACATTGAATGATCTAAACCCCCCTTTTTTTTTTTAAAAAAAAAAAGGAAAATAATTAAAATTATCAAGGATAAATCAGGTCAGATATAATTGACTATTAGTGTTAGTGTTATGATTATTACGTGTTTACTGACTTAATTACTTTTAAGCCTGTTACCAACAATAGAGTATAGGCCACCGACCAATATACTCGACCTTAATCTGTCTTCCTTTCTAATTCTATTCAATTCTTGTTTATTCTTATTATGTATGTCTTCACTTCTCGAAGCAATGTCTTCTTTGCTCTTCCTCTTCGTGTAACATCGTGAATTAATTGAAGTTAAATATTAACACTATTTGATGACAACTCAGTGGTCTAGGAGTTAAGCACTCGTGCCAAAAGCTAAACGATCTCATGTT